CTGCCACCACCACCACTACCACTACTACTACAACAACTACTACTACTGCTGCTGCTGCTACTACTGCTGATGCTGCTACTACTACTGCTACTGCACCTCCCGCAACTGTTGCTACTTCTACTGCTGCTGCTCATCCTCCTCCCACTACTACTACAACTACTTTTGCTACTGCTGCTACTTCGGCTACTGCTCTTCCTCCTCCTACTACTGCTGCTGCTACCTGCTGCTGCTGCTGCTGCTGCTGCTGCTACTGCTGCTACTACTACTACTACTGCTACTACTACTACTGCTGCTACTACTACTACTGCTACTGCTACTACTGCTACTACTACTACTACTACTACTGCTGCTGCTGCTGCTGCTGCTGCTGCTGCTGCTGCTGCTGCTGCTGCTGCTGCTGCTGCTGCTGCTGCTGCTGCTGCTCCTACTGCTGCTGCTGCTGCTGCTCCTACTGCTGCTGCTGCTCCTGCTGCTGCTCCTACTGCTACTGCTACTGCTACTGCTACTACTACTACTACTACTACTGCTACTGCTCCTGCTCCTGCTCCTGCTCCTGCTCCTGCTGCTGCTGCTGCTGCTGCTGCTGCTGCTGCTGCTGCTGCTGCTGCTGCTGCTGCTGCTGCTGCTGCTGCTGCTGCTGCTGCTGCTGCTGCTGCTGCTACTACTACTACTACTACTACTGCTGCTACTGCTGCTCCTGCTGCTACTATTATCTTGTCCGTTGTATTTTCGACGTACACATTTGCTTTTTTAAATATTGTACAGTTACTTCTCTCAGTGAATTTGAATCGTTGTTTTTTTTTTTTAATTTAAATATTATCATGATAATTCCTTGTAGGATAAGATTAGAGAGAAACGTCTTAGATCTTTCTTGTTGTTGCTAACATTGATTAATTCACTCTTTGAATCATCGTATTTGCTCACATGTTGCAAACACAGTTTTATAACTTCGACATACTGGGTTCGCTGCAGGATATTTAACAGACCGCTCCGCGTTGATTCCGACAACGACAGGAGCAATTGAGCGTTAAGAAGGCAAAGAGAACCACTTAATGTAAAATTGCCTAATAACATTTCAGACCATCAACAAATGCTGCATTAGGTTTCCTTAGTTCTTGAAAGCAAATGCAATTAACCTTTCACAAATTCTTTCAAATATTTGTAGTCTATTCTACACACTTAAAACGTATTATTCTATGTGCATGTTCTTCATATTGCTGTAAAAAGTTTCAGTAAAATAACTTTTGAACGCTACACTCGCTCAGAAAACATCCGTTGTGTCTAGAAGGAAGTGCGCTGTCCTCGCGAGCCGGCTTACAAGTAACTCCAGTATTCACAGTACACTGTACAGGTGTCAAAAATAACGCCGTAACTACACCGTACCGGTCTCAAAAACAACACCGTAAATACACCGTACAGGTGTCAAAAAACAACAACGTAACTACACTGTACAGGAATGAGAAACAAACCCGTACCTACACCGTGAAGGTTTCAGAAACAACGCTGTACCTTCACCGTATAGCTGTAACTACACCGAACAGGTGTCAAAAACAACACCGTACCGGTATCAAAACCGTAACAACACCGTACAGGTGTGAGAAACAACACTGTACTTACACAGTACAGATGTCAGAAACAGACCAACCCTACATTGTACAGTTATAAGAGCCCGGCTCTCTAGCGAAGTTGGTTAAATCTGACTTTCGCGGCGGCCGGGTGACGAACTCCTTGTGGTCCGGGTTCACTCCCAGGGGTAGGCAGAAAAGCCACATTTCTCCCAGATTAATGGTACCTATAATGGAATCAAGGCCGAAGGGTTGCGATATCCATAGTACCGAGCCAAAGGGTTTATAACTCATGGTTTCTGGATACGTTAAAAAAAAAAAAAAAATTTAACAAAAAAAAAAAAAAAATTGAAAAAAAAAAAAAAAAAAATACAGTTATAAGAAACAGACCAACTCTACATCGTACAGTTGTCAGAAACAGACAACCCTACATCGTACAGGTGTCAGAAACAGACAACCCTACATCGTACAGGTGTCAGAAACAGACAACCCTACATCGTACAGGTGTCTGAAACAGACCAACCCTACATTGTACAGTTGCCAGAAACAGACTAACCCTACATCGTACAGGTGTCAGAAACAGACAGCCCTACATCGTACAGGTGTCAGAAACAGACAACCCTACATTATACAGGTGTCTGAAACAGACCAACCCTACATTGTACAGTTGTCAGAAACAGACCAACCCTACATCGCCCTACATCGTACAGGTGTAAGAAACAGACCAACCCTACATCGCCCTACATCGTACAGGTGTAAGAAACAGACCAACCCTACATCGCCCTACATCGTACAGGTGTAAGAAACAGACCAACCCTACATTGTACAGGTATCAGAAACAGACTAACCCTACATTGCACAGGCGTTAGAAACAACACTGCTGATGAGAAACACCCACTGCATCAGGCGCTTTTTAGTGAAAAGGGTGATAGACTGAAAGTCATGGCTAGGTAAGGCAGAAGATGTCATTAGGCAAACATGCAGCCTAGCCTAGGGTACTTGTGCCTCATGAGTTTATGTGTACATTTTCCTGTATTGCCACACTCAACAGGCGATGTAGAGAAGAGAATCCTGTTGCTGTTAATGCAGAGGTCAACGCTCTCATCATTGAAAATTTAGACGAAGCAGATGCGCTAATCTACACAGACGGATCCGTTATACGTCAAAAACAAAAAGCGCATGGGCATTCACAGCACGCCCAACAGGCAGAATAGTCAAAGAAGCCAACGGCGCCTTTTCCGTGACAATTAGCAGCAGGACGATGGAGGTGATGGCAGTGACGCAAGTGTTCGCCTGGCTCGAAACACAAAACTACACCCGCGTATGTATACTCAGTGATTCAATGAGTATGATCCGGAGGGTTCAGGCAGGTTCGGTGCGAAGACAATGGCTTGAAAACATTACTGAAATTCACTGTGCGTGGAGTCACCTTTTTTTTTGTTACTGGACAAGCAGGCGTCGATGGATCTGAAAGAGCTGATAGGTTGGCTGGATCCGCTATCACTACCGACGGTCAGCCAATGGATCATGCTAATGTTATTAATGCCCTTAGAGAAATGGGAAGGATAGAGAACTTTGCGGGCAGTGAATCCACATCACTCGTATTATGGCAGACTTGGGAATTAAGATCGGCATAGCTAAAAACAAGACGCACACCAGACGACTTGTTAATCAACATAGAACTGGTACTATTAACCATCGGACGTTGGGGTTCATACTGAGGGGAGGATCTGAGCACCTATGGACATGTCCGGAGTGCAATGATGATAACCCAACTTACTAACTAACCAACTAACTAACAGACACAACAGAAGACTTGTTAATCAACATAGAACTGGTACTATTAACCATCGGACGTTGGGGTTCATACTGAGGGGAGGATCTGAGCACCTATGGACATGTCCGGAGTGCAATGATGATAACCCAACTTACTAACTAACCAACTAACTAACAGACACAACAGAAGACTTGTTAATCAACATAGAACTGGTACTATTAACCATCGGACGTTAGGGCTGAAACTGAGGGGAGGATCTGAGCACCTATGGACATGTCCGGAGTGCAATGATGATAACCCAACTAACTAACTAACCAACTAACTAACAGACACAACAGAAGACTTGTTAATCAACATAGAACTGGTACTATTAGCCATCGGATGTTGGGATTCATACTGAGGGGAGGATCTGAGCACTTATGGACATGACTGGAGTGCAATGATGATAACCCAACTAACTATCTAACTAACCAACTAACTAACTAACCAACTAACTAACTAGAAACAACACTGTACCTACACTGTACATTTTTCAAAAACAATACCGTACCTTCACCGTACTGGTATTAAAAACAACACTATACCGACACCGTACAGGCGTCAGAAACAACACTATACCTACACTGTACAGGCGTCAGAAACAACACTTTACCTATACCGTACAGGTGTCAGAAACAACACTATACCTACATCGCCCAGGCGTCAGAAACAACACTATACCTACATCGCTCAGGTGTCAGAAACAACACTTTAGCTACACCGTACAGGCGTCAGAAACAACAATATACCTATACCGTACAGGCGTCGGAAACAACACTTTACCTATACCGTACAGGCGTCAGAAACAACACTTTACCTATACCGTACAGGTGTCAGAAACAACACTATACCTACATCGCCAGGCGTCAGAAACAACACTATACCTACATCGCTCAGGCGTCAGAAACAACACTTTACCTACACCGGACAGACGTCAGAAACAAAACTATACCTACATCGCTCAGGCGTCAGAAACAACACTGTGCCTACACTGTCCAGGTGTCAGATGCAGTAGTCCCCCTCCCAGGTCAATAAAACTTACCCAGCAGCTGATGTATCGATTTCAACGTCTGGCAACACCACGTGACCTCCCCACAAGTCTCAAGTACAGACTTGGCACTGACTGTTCCAATTGTGGACACCATTTTTTTTTTTCTGCTCCACAAAACGGGGCATTCTTTGTTAAATCCGGAATCTGGGCAATTTGTGAACATAGGACAGGCTAATTACACTATTTCTGCTCGCGTCAGATTTGGACTAGGCACTGGCGTTAGCCTCTTCTGTCTGTCATCTGATAATTTAACTCCTTGTACGCCATGGGCACGTGAAGTGGTTCAAATGCAATTGCAAACTGACCACACCTGTTACAAGAAACGAGGCTATGAATTGAAACGGGCGAGACGCTACAAGACTATATCAGTGCAGACAGGCGAGAGTCTGAAAGTGCAGAGGGAACTCACGTGCAGACAGACAATGAACTAAAAGTGTACAGACAGGACTATAATAATGCCGCAGGTGCGTCACTATAAGTGCAGGCAAGACTCACAAATTGCAGGCGAGAATCTAAAAGTGCAGACGGGCGAGACTCTGTAAGTGCAGTTAGACGAGAGATTACAAGTTCAGACATGCCAGACTCTACAAATGCAGACAAGTGACACTTTACAAGACAGGCGAGACTCTACAAGCTCAGACAGGTAAGACTCTACGGGTGCAGACAGGCGATATTCTACGGGTGCAGACAGGCGATATTCTACGGGTGCAGACAGGCGATATTCTACGGGTGCAGACAGGCGATATTCTACGGGTGCAGACAGGCGATATTCTACGGGTGCAGACAGGCGATATTCTACGGGGGCAGACAGATAAGATTCTACGGGTGCAGACAGGCGATATTCTACGGGTGCAGACAGGCGATATTCTACGGGGGCAGACAGATAAGATTCTACGGGTGCAGACAGGCGATATTCTACGGGTGCAGACAGGCGATATTCTACGGGGGCAGACAGATGAGATTCTACGGGGGCAGACAGGTGAGATTCTACGGGTGCAGAGAGGCGAGATTCTACGGGGGCAGACAAATGAGATTCTACGGGTGCATACAGGCGAGATTCTACGGGGGCAGACAGATGAGATTCTACGGGGGCAGACATGTTAGATTCTACGGGGGCAGATAGGTGAGATTCTACGGGGGCAGACAGGTGAGATTCTACGGGGGCAGACGGTGAGATTCTACAGATGCAGACATGTTAGATTCTACGGGTGCAGACATGTTAGATTCTACGGGTGCATACATGTTAGATTCTATGAGTTCAGACAGGCAAGACTCTACGAGTGCAGACAGGTGAGACACTATAGGTGTAGACAGGTGAGACTGTACAAGTGCAGAAAGTCGAGACTATACGTGTGTAGACCGACACGGCTCTACGGGTGTACACAAGCGAATCTCTATAAGCGCAGACATGCGACGAGACTATACAAGTGTAGACAGGAGAGACTGCATGTGTAGACCGGCCAGTCTCTCCATGTGCAGAAAGTCGAGACTCAACGGGCGTAGACAGGCGAGACTTTGCAGAGGTTCATCCTCTACATCAGATTAACAACTGCTGGTCTACGCAGTCACAGTGAGGCCAACGTTTCTCCAAACGTCATGAACACATGCTCCTGTAGCCAGGTTCCGATAATATCGATGTAACACAAATAAGACTAAACACATGGGGAAAGACACTGATCATCTCAAATCATTATGTCGTGACTTAGTAGTATATGTGAAAGCTAAAAGCAAACTTCAACGCAGTGTCTGCTAGTCTTTTCCTTTTTTTTTTTTAACCAAGGGAGAAAACTCAATAAACATTGGCATTTGAATTTATGTAGTTGTATCCCTTGATGTTGGCGTCTGTGGCTTTGGGGCTACGAACGCTCTCTGTAATTCTGCGGTGAAATGTGCGATCCCATATACGGATGATTTGGCAGCAGACTGCCGTGTAGTAATTTCAACATTGGTATCAAGAGCCGACCATTGAGGATGCAAAGATAAACTACTTAACGTAAAATTGCCCTGTAAAATAAAAATCAGCCCAAAATATGCTGGTGTTGGTTCTGCAACGTCCTGTAAAGGAAACGCAATTGTATGTTGCTCATTGTCCTGATGCAATTTTTCGTTACTTTAAAGCCTCACCCCGGCTGTAGTCAGGGGTCCTTATATAACCCAACAGTTGATCGGGGTTTTTGTGACCTCTTCCAGGGTGATCCTCATCCGCATGGTGGCACTTTGTGTCACCGGGTGTTCGTCGCTTGGTTGATGTCCTGGTGGGGTTGAATCTCATTCATCCATTCAAGAAAAATCAATAAATATTTGTATTCCATATTGTGACATTTCTGTGGGTAAAAAATGTCGCGGTAATGCACAGACAAGCAATGGTTAGCTCAAAGTCACCGTGTTTTAGGCGGGAGAGTATGGGATGGCAGATTCCTGTACAACTAGGCAGGCATCTTTTTACACGAAATGGGGCACAGGACATTGAGGATTCTCTGGCCTGAACATGGACCAATCACTGGAATTGATGGAGGATTGGGAGTCTTTCTTGCAGACTGCAGTGACAATAAATATTCATTCAGCAGACTCGCAGCGTTGCGGTGATGAATCGCTTAGATGGACCAACAATGTAAACTGATGGACCAGAAAAGATCTGGGTCATTGGCGACCGGATCGCCCAATGGCCGCTGGTAGTCGACGCCGGTCGGGACAGTATTTTATTATGTCTCTTTTGATCGCATCAACACTGCAAGAGTTTCAGAGCTACTTGCTGGCGAGCAATGTAAAGTCATTTTATACGGCGCAGATAACCTTGTCACAATTATAACCTTAAACTTTCCCTTTGCGGATGACGGTTGAACTATCAATTTCTCTTTTTTTTTCGCAAAGCTGGCCAAGCCAAGCAAAAGCTATGGTTACACTGTAAAAATATAGGTTAGACAAATGGTTCTTAATCTTCCTAATGCTGCGACCCTTTAATACAGTTCCTCATGTTGTGGTGACCATTTAATACAGTCCCTCATGTTGTGGTGACCATTAAATACAGTCCCTCATGTTGTGGTGACCATTTAATACAGTCCCTCATGTTGTGGTGACCATTTAATACAGTCCCTCATGTTGTGGTGACCATTTAATAAGTCCCTCATGTTGTGGTGACCCTTTAATACAGTTCCTCATGTTGTGGTGACCATTAAATACAGTCCCTCATGTTGTGGTGACCCTTTAATACAGTTCCTCATGTTGTGGTGACCCTTTAATACAGTCCCTCATGTTGTGGTGACCCTTTAATACAGTCCCTCATGTTGTGGTGACCCTTTAATACAGTCCCTCATGTTGTGGTGACCCTTTAATACAGTCCCTCATGTTGTGGTGACCCTTAAAATTCAGTTCCTCAATATGTGGCAACCTCCAGCCATCCAATTATTTTCATGGCTGCTTCCTAACTTTAATGAATATTTGGTTTTGCGATGGTCTTTGGCAGCCCATGTAAAAGGGTTGTTCGACCCCACAGAGACCTATAGGTTGAGAACCGCTGGGTTGGACAGCTCTGATGGTGTTCCTTTTTATTTTAGCGTTCACCTGCTGTAAACTCTGACGGAAGTTTTGGTTGTTCGTCCACTTCTGGACCTATACATACACACACTTTACACTATATATATATATATGTATAGATATATATATCACATCAACACGATTGGTAAGGTTGTGGATTTATGAGTACTCACTTTACAAAATGATGTCATGTCACATCTCTGGTCGTCAATGCGGGTACCCTGCAGTCTCTCCAACATGGCGAACAGGTCGGAGTTCTGGTGGGGAACACACAAACAGACTGAAACTAAGTCAATGCATGTATGTAATCTGTCTGACCGTGCGTTTCACTGAAGTCTGTCTGTCTGCCTTCCTGTTCGTTATTATTTTTTTTTTCTTTAAAATTTCCTTGCACCTTTTGTGTGCGTGTTATACAGGTGTCTATGTCTGCTTTCTGTGTGTCTGCTCTCTCTCTCTCTCTCTCTCTCTCTCTCTCTCTCTCTCTCTCTCTCTCTCTCTCTCTCTGGCTTGCTCGCTCTCTCTTTCTGTGTGTGTGTGTTTCTTCTTGAAGTCTGTCTTGGCGTATCTCTCTGTCTGTTCGCTCTCTCTCTCTCTCTCTCTCTCTCTCTCTCTCTCTCTCTGTGTGTCTCTCTCTGTCTTCTCTAACCACCCTGACTTTCCTACTTGTTTGTCTTTTCTCTGCCCCCACGCCTTCCTCACTTTCATGCATGTTGTCTCTCTCTCTCTCTCTCTCTCTCTCTCTCTGACTGTCTGTTGCCCCACCTCCAGCATGTCTTCTCTCTTCCTGTCTCTCTTCTTGCCTGTCCTCACTCTCCTTCTCTCCCTCTTACTGTCCTCCCTCTCTCTCTCTCTCTCTCTCTCTCTCTCTCTCTCTCTCTCTCTCTCTCTCTCTCTCTCTCTTGCTTTGTCTACTCTATCTCCTGCCACAGTCTTTCTACTTCTTCTAGGTTTTTTCTCCCACTCTTTTTCTATCAGTCTATCTTCTCTCAGTCTGTCTATCTTCTCTTAGTCTATCTTCTCTCTGTCAGTGTGAATAAATAACGTCTGCTCTTTACCTTTTTCTCTAGCTCGGGGCTAGGCGAAGAGTCCCCAGACCGAGGCGCATGAGCCTCACAATAGAGTCTGCCCTCGACGCTCTGCTTTCTGTGGACACGAACACAAACAATTATTGGCCAGCTGCTGGTGGTTCAGTGGGCGCAGCACCCGTCTCTCACGCCTACACCGTGGACTCTATCAATTCGTATTAGAAGTTTAAAAAAAATAATAAAGTGTATAAAAGGCTAGATTCATATTTTTATAGCCCAATGGGTGATATGGTCAACACCGATTTAGGACTGGGCTTAGTTGGGAGCCAAAGTCATGTTTGAAGAAACAAGAACATTCGGCACCATGCGGATTTGAACCCATGACCCCAGACGAGAGTCTAGTGGCCTATATCATTTTGTATTGCACACTGATTCTTTTTTTTTCCTTGCGTCTTTAAGCGTATGATCAGGTGTCTATGAAACACATCAGAGGTTATATCCACGGTGAAATCTAGGACTGAACATTGTATGTCGACTAGTTGGACAAGAGTTTAATAACAACAGTTATCAAAATTCTCTAAATTCTTCTAGCATACGCTATTAGTATAATAAGGAGAACTTCACAGGAAAGCTTGCACAGCAGGGGTCCACCGATCATCAGTAGAGAGATCCTTCGTCGACGATTGTTTCGGTTCATTACTTCCCTAGACAGTGTCAGAAGGTGGGCCCGACCTGGGTCATGAAGCCAGGCCTCGATCTTCCCCTGCTGCACTTCATCGGACTCTCAGACAGGGACAAGAAAGCATCTATCCAGGTAGGGCAGTGGTTCTCAACCTATGGGTCGATACCCTTTTGGGGGTCGAAGGACCGTTTCACATGGGTCGCCAATGACCATCGGAAAACATATTCATGAGGTTATGAAGTAGTAATGAAAATAATATTATCTCTGGGGGTCGCCATAGTATGAGGAACTGTATGAATGGGTAGCCACAACACGAGGAACTGTAATAAACGGTCGCTACAGCAGGAGGAACTGTAAGAAAGGGTCGTGGCATTAAGAAGGTTGAAAACCACTGACGTAGGGGATAACCTATGACCCACACATGTAACGAGGGAGATAGAAAAGGGGGGGGGGGGGGTATTAAGAAAGTGACAGAAGGAAAAAAAATGGAACACGAAAGAGAGTGAGGGAATTTACTATCATTCGTAAGTGTTACCTGTTTCCCTTTGTTCATTTATACATCAGCATTCTTCAAAAATAATAATTATGATTATCCTCCAGTGATGGAAGCACAAGGAAACAAAACCCCCAAAATACCTCGGATTCCTTGTGTCTTTGACACGATCAATCTCTTACAAAGGTAGTGTATTCACCGAAGATGGAGGATTGTACAGAGAAAGAGAAAACAGATTACAGAAGACCAAAAACATAAATTACCAAACTGCGCCACTTTTTGAAGCACCAAAATATCAAAATGCACACCACAAAAGTCGCTGATAAATGCTCTGTTCGTATTAACTTTGTGCAGCAAAGGCAGAC